TCTGAACTGTGAGTAGCCTGCTTTTACTTCGGCTAACATTATCACTGCATGGCTTGGTATTAGTAATGCATTATTTTTTATGCTGCAGTACTAAATACTTCCTCCAGGAAGTGCTGCGGTGTAACATTGTTCTCTGACTTTGTGTTTGTCTCATCGGGTCCTGACTGTCATCAATGTGATCACACAGCTTTTACTTGTTTGCTTCATATTTGTGGTTGTGTTTCTGTGGAGCTTGTGAGTTATGGAGTTGCTTATTCCCTGAGTTTGGTCCTTCAGGGAGCGTGTCTCCCCAGGCCTGGTACAGATCTGACTGGGTGCCTCTGTCGCCTGAGGGGAGATGCTGCCCATAGACTGTCAGTGCACTGGTCAGTTCAACTGAATCCTGTTAGAGGTTCTACTGTGTGATTTAATTTGAGTTTCCCAGACAGGAAGAATGTCTCTGCTGATTTAGTCGACTTAAAAAAAAAAAAAAAAAAAAAAAAAAAAAACAGGGAGAGAAAGAAGAAAATGAGAGACTGAAGTGGAGATGGAGAGAGGGAGGGCGGTGTACTGCAGACAGAGAGGAGGGAGCAGATATACACTGAAGATATAGGTCGAGAAAGCACTTGAGGAAAGGCAGTGAGAGTGTACTGGAAGTTTTAGACAGAAAAGTGAGGAAAGACTTCACCCAGAAGATTTCAGCCCCGATCCCAGAAACTTTCCCAGTTCAGTCTGACAGCAGTGAGAGAAACTTTCAGCCTGACGGGGGGGAGAGAGAAACAAAGAGCCGGGGCAGAGAATGAAACATTTCTCTGTCGGGCTGTAATTAGCATAATATTTCTCTCTGTGTCTCCATCATCCTATTTATGACTGTCAGAATGAAGGACAGAGATGAAAGGATGGAAATAACCGGCATGAAATGTGTCTGTTAATCACAGGGGATGTCTGTGTGTGTGTTCGTACTGACTGGACATTGAGTGGCTGCTCACTCTGTTTCACTGCACTATTTTGCACTAAAGACAAATTTGTTCCATGGTGTCTTTTATCAAAGCGAAGCCTCAGAGGCCTCGGGGCGACGCTGGCTTTGAGGTTAGAGACAGTCGCCAGTTCGAGTCCCGGACCAGGCGGGGAACAAAACCCCCAGATGGTCGACAGCACGGGGCATGAAATTAGCTTTTTGTTTCTCGGGGTATTTTTGGCCCTTTGATCATTTCGGGGCACGCTGCTCCTTCTGAATAAACTGTGAAATAAAAGCAGGGAGTTTGAAGAGCCTCAGAGAAATACTCTGCACAAATATACCAGCAGAAAGGCAACTCGACCAAAACCCCGGCGCTCTGTGGGTCCTTGTAGAGTCGACTGTGGTTCCAACATTTGGCTTTACTTTTTATCATTATATTTACCTTGTTTATAATGAGAATACCTTGCCTGTTACTTTTATTCTTAATCACTGTTTCTTCCACCCTGTTTCTCTCCCTCTGCTGCTGTAGCTCTGCAGTAGTTTATAGCTCTGCCTACCCCCATGGCTTGGGATCGAATGCTAACATCTTCCAAACTAATAAGCATCCATCCATTATCTATACCACTTATCATGTTCAAGGTTGTGGGGAAGCTGGAGCCAATCCCAGCTGACACTGGGTGAGAGGCGTGGTCCACCCTGGACAGGTCACCAGTCTGTCACAGAGCTGACATGTAGACAAACACTCACACTCACTCATATGGGTGATTTAGAGTAACCAGTCGACCTAAGCTGCATGTCTTTGGACTGTGGGAGGAAGCCGGAGCACCCGGATGGAACCCACGCAGGCACATGGTGAACATGCAGACTCTGCACAGAAAGGCCACGGGTCGGCCGGGACTCGAACCCAGAACCTTCTTGTTGTGAAGTGACAGTGCTGGCCAAATACAGCATTGTGCACAAAAAGGTTGGCCCTGGTTTTGTGTAACGCGACGTTCTCTGGCAGGACACTGGGATAAACGTACATACAGTATACCACAGAAGTGAGTACACCCCCTCACATTTTGTAAATATTTAAGTATATCTTTTCATGTGACAACACTGACGAAATGACACTTGGCTACAATGTAAAGTAGTGAGTCTACAGCTTGTATAACAGTGTAAATGTGCTGTCCCCTCAAAATAACGCAACACACAGCCATTAATGTCTAAACTGCTGGCAACAAAAGTGAGTACACCCCTAAGTGATAATGGCCAAATGGGGCCCAAAGTGTCAATATTTTGTGTGGCCACCATTATTTTCCAGCACTGCCTTAACCCTCTTGGGCATAGAGTTCACCAGAGCTTCACAGGTTGCCACTGGAATCCTCTTCCACTCCTCCATGATGACGTCACGGAGCTGGTGGATGTTAGAGACCTTGCGCACCTCCACCTTCCGTTTCAGGTCACGACCAAACTTAAAACAGTCACCGTGAACACTATCTGTAGTTTGTCTTTAAACACATACGTGTTCCTCCAACTGGACTTCCTGGATCGTAGCTCATCAACTCACCACTACATGAACAGCTCCTTGCGTTGTTTCAGTCCCGTGTTCAGTCTCTTTTAGGTCCGTTATTGGTCTCTAAAAAGCTGTAGAGCTGCAGAGGCCATGGCGATTTTCTGTGACTGAGTGACACCCTCACATTTACGACAGGTTTGATAACACAGGTTGGTAGTTCACTGTCAGGCTCATACTTTTGAACAGAAGGACATTTGAACAAAGCAGGGACAGTAGCTTGTGCATTGCCTGAATAAAAAACAGTCGAGTTTCCCAGAGTCTCCCCAGGACATGTCCCTCCAGCTGTCAGCAGCCTGGAGCCTTATTGTACAGTGTGTAAAGTGCTCTGTGAGTGTCAGCAGGTAAATCAGCCTGTCAGTCTGAGGCCTGGGCGGCTGCCAGGTGGTGAGCTGCATGGCAGTAATGAAAACTGCTCCTCTGCTGCGCAGTCGAGCTTCCAGGATGAAGCAGGGGAAACACAAACAGAGGCTACGTGAAAGTCACAGCTTTCATCTGTTAAAGTGGTTAATCACACAGACGGGCAGCAGCGATGAGTCAGCACCGACTGCAGCCGTGGGCCCTGCCCGAGCACAGCACGCAGCTGTATCTTGGACAAACAGCAGCCGTACAAGCACACCTGTTGGAGCCCCAGAGCCGTGCACTATTGCTACGTCAGAATCATTCAAGTGGAAATATCAAAATCAGAATCTGCTTTATTGGCCAGGTGTGTCGGACACATGAGGAATTTGACTCTGGTACATCGTCTCTCAATGTGTATGTACATATCCCCATGCAAGGGGCAAGCAAACAGTAAACCAGCATAAAGCTGTGTAATATAACAAAATAAACAGTATTAACAAACAGTACTTAAAACTAGAGACCTGTACGAATCTGTATAATCTGTACAAGGTATATTTATAGGTATTGCACTGAGGGTTATTGTCCAGTCATTGGTTAAGTGTTCATCAGAGTGACAGCCTGGGGGAAGAAACTGTCCTTGTGCCTGGTTGTCTTGGCGTACAGTGACCTGTAACGCCGTCCAGGCGTGCAAACAGACTATGTTCAGGGTGTGAGGGGTCTGCAGTGATCCTCTCTGTCCTCCTTTTGACCCGTGTGGTGTACAGGACCTACATGGGGGGCAGGTTCTGTAGAACTGTATCAGCAGCTCCTGGGGCAGGTTGAACTTCCTGAGCTGGTGCAAGACCCCCTGCACAAACGAGAGCACACATCCCTGGGCGGTGCCTGTGCTTATTGTCCGGATGCTGGATGTGGTTTTCCTCTGCTGTGCCTTCTTGGTGATGGTCCTGATGTTGGACGTCCACTTCAGGTCTTGGGAGATAGTGGAGCCCAAGAACTTGTAGGACTTTACTGCTGATACAATGCTGCCAAGTATGGTAATTGGGGGTAAGGTGGGAGGGCTCTTCCTGAAGTCCACTGTCATCTCCACTGTTTTGAGCGTGTTCAGCTCCAGGTTGTCTTGTCATCGTCTCGGATGACACCAATGACCGTTGTGTCATCTGCAAACTTTAGGAACTTGACAGAGGGGTCCTTCGAGATGCAGTCGTTGGTGTAGAGTGAAAACAGAAGGGAGGGCACACATCCCTGGAGGGCACCTGATAATTGCAAATGTTTCTTCTTTTAGTCTTAGTCTTGTTGGTGCTTTTAAGAGAACATTGAGGCTCACAGTGACGTCAAAAATTACTACAGAAAAGGTCAGCTGTGGGAGGCTCTGCAGCCGGGTGGAGCGCACAGATCACCTGCACAAAATATGTCCATTAATACATAAACAGAATAAACAGGCAGAAACCTATGGAGATCACATATATAACATTTTTTGATAACATACAGTATATAAAAAAAAACAGCAAAAAATAGAGAGAGAACAAACTATCAGGCTGCAACCGCCACTGTGCACAAAGATCTGGCAAGATGACGTCTAGCCACCGGCAGTCACAGACACAGGGCAGAACCTGAATCCTGAGGTGCTAATAGACACAGTGGCCAGAAATCTGGATGCAGACCAGCAGTATTGATTAGTGCAGAGCTGCTTGTGTGGGCACGTGTGTGCGCCAGTGAGCTGCCAGGGGACACGCTGGCGACTCATTGTGTCTGAGAGGCTTTGATGTGATGGGGTGAACGCTGCCAAACAGTAAACTGTCTTTCATCTGCTCTCATCCCATCCTTCTGTTGTCCTCCTCCACCTTCCTCTTCCTTCCTTCGCCTCCCACCTCCATCTCCCTGTTTCCTTACCTGTGAACCACCTCCTCCTCATTAGGTCCAATCCTAATCTCTGCCAGTCTTTCTTTCTCTTCCTCTCATTCCTTTAAACAAACACCACAGCACCACTTATTAGAAGCAGTGCAAATCAGTGTTTCTATCTGTTAAATCCTTGTTTTCGTCTCCAGCTTGTTATTTTGGAGTCGGTGACCTTGGTGCCCTCTGTAGCCACAGCCCTGACCACAGAATTGAGCAGCAGGACTGACATAGCAAGTTGGAATAACCCTTGTTTCCTCCTCCTCTGTCTTCCAGGTGTCCGTCGTCTTCCAGAGATGGACCAGCGTGCCAATGCTAACGTTCACTACACCCTGCTCATCGCCTGCGTGCTGGTGGCCTTCTTTCTGGGCGCCATCTTGTCCGGCTTCCTGGTGTCATGTTACTGCAGCCACAGCGCCGCTCACCGGGCAAGGAGGCTAGGCAAAGACCCCGAGGCATCGCTGCCCCACGCCCTGTCGCTGCGGTCCCTCGCCAAGCTCAACGGTCTGCTGGACGGACAGCCCAAGGTGGGTGACGAGCTGGTCAGGGATGATATAAGAACTAGTACAGGCTTCTGATGCTAACCAGGAATGCTGGGAAAATACATATAGATTTATGACACATTGCCACATCACTGGGCTCAGTCATGGTACAGAAAACTATGGGAGCATGTCAGTGTGTTTCTCTGCCGACAGCTCAAACTATGCAAATCTCCCATCTATGTATAAGTCCTCAGTAGCTATAATCCCATTACCATGCCAGGCCTGAAAAGTCTGGTCAAACAGAGGGGGGTTAGCAGATGGTTTGCAAGAACGGGAGCCTGAAGTGAGGCACTCTGCAACCCAAAGTGTTTGTGAAACTGTTCCCAGATCTTTAGTATGGACAGCCACAGGATTTTCACAAGAGCCAGAGTTTAGAGGTAAGGGGGCTGAAACTGGGGAGGGGAGCTTCTGTTCAGAAGATTCCAGCTTCACCCAGACTGGAGCTTCTGCACTACCACTGACCCACCTTATAATATTTTACTAGCCCAGTCATCATAAAGAAAATGAGGCCAAGCCATACCTCCTAATCTTTTAGACCTTTGTAAAAAGTCTTTAACATATTCATGGGGTCTTACCCTCCCATTTGATCCACTGATTTAAAAAAAAAAAGTTTTTTTTAGGAATAAATACTGGAATACTTGGACAGAAATAAAGAAGTTTACTAAGATAGATAAGTAAATACATTATATTCAGAGGTGTCTATTTTTGTCCTCCCCAGCTACATACATGAGAGGGTCAGAATATTAGGAACACCTGTAGTCCAGTACAACACCACCTTTAACTATGAGCTCAGCAATAAACATGGAATTATACATTTATGACAATTTCACCAGGAATTGAAACATGTTGAGTTTCATAAACACAGATGTTAAAGTGAAGTGTCGCACTGAAGTGCATACGGTTGTACAGGTGTCCCTAATAAAGTGGTCGGTAAATGTATATTGCTGATGAGTTTGTCCTGTGGCTGACGTGGGTAAAGTTGCACATCTCACAGCTAAACAAAACCTCTGCTGTATCTCACACACATCTGCAGCAGGCTTAACAAGACGGGCTGAGAAGCAGCGACATAATGAGCTGAATCTTAAGCAGCCATGTTAATATTCATCCCTCCCTCCTCCTCCTCCCCCAGGGGAAGACATAATAACTTACGAGCTTCACCTCAGTCTTTTATTCAGCCATTACCTTCGACTGTTTCATTATGAACTCCATCTTTTTCCAAGTGTCCTTGAGCACAAAACTGAATATCTAAGCTTCCTGGCAACCTCTGACCTCTGTGCAGAAATGTATATTTATACAAGTTTCTCATTACAGTGTGTGGAATATGATAACTGAAAACCACCCAGGAAACACCCAGTAATCCGGATTTCTCTTCCTTATTTGTCTTCATTCAGGAGGACAAACTGGACGTGTCCACTCCGAAGATGTACAGCTCCTTTATGCCCAACGGTCGTTCAGAGCCTCACCTCCACACGCCCAGACACCAGGCCCTGCCCCTGGGAGACCCCGAGCTCAGCCTCTCACAGGTAGCACATCGTAGAGCACAGCCTGGGCTGGGTCACCATTACATACTGTTAAGTTTAATCTGTTCAAAAACAGTAAATGTATCATTAGACAATATTTTTCCATATGGGCCCAAGCAACCAGGCCTCCATCTGTAGAAACAGTTTAACATTTTGGGAATGGACAGACAAAGATGACTGTCAGTCTCCTGTCTGTGTGTAAAGTGCAGAGCTGAAGTCCAGACATGGTTAGCTTAGCACAGAGACTGGAAGCTATGGGAAACAAATCACACTGTTTAAAACCAGTCTGCAGCCTTGTCCATAGATCAGTGCTAATGTGTTCACTAACTGTGTTAGCATGCTTACATTTGCTACTTAGCAACTAAAAAGTACAGCAGAGGCTTACTCCAGTTCATTTATTGCACAGAAGTGGATGGCCTAGAGAACAGGGAGGACGAGTTTATCGCAGTGCATGCAAAAGTTGTTTCTCTCAAAGCCACAGATATGGACCTTGTGATGGTCCTAGATGAAAACTGAAATCTGTAGGGTTTGTGTTCTGGGGACAACATTTTATGACGATCAGTACAGTAGTTGATCAACTGGCATTCCCATTGCTAGAGCCACTGTGTCAGCATGACTCAACATAACCCTCTAACGCTCACTGATTCACAAATGGAAATGTAAAAACTACATTTAGTTTTAGAGGAAGTTGTATGTCTGAACTATTTGTAAACAAATCGCTGTATTTCTGTGCACCACCAGCTTTATGGTGCAGCCAGACTGAATTTAACAGGTGAAATTTACTCAGGTGATTTGGCCAGATGTAGTAGACATGTAATAATACAAGGTTGTAAAGGCAAACTGCAGGAGCTAGCATGGCTAGCAGGCTAAGAACAGCAGTCCACAAAGTTTAACAGTCATTAACCTGTGTCAGTCCTCAGCCTCAGTGCAAACCAGTCATTATTTCTTATCTGCTGTGCACATAAAACAAGAATGTTGTTAAGCTCTCAAACTGGCTGGACTTGATGATTTCATGTATCACACCAGTCGGATTGAGCAGGCAGGTCAGTTCACGACTGGATGTCAATGTGTCTTGTCACATTCAGCAGGGACTTGAACAGAAAGTTAATTCTGGGCTGACTGCACCACTTCAGGTCTTGGAAGGTGTATATCTGAGCTTTGGATAGAGCCGGGTTTGCTGTGCCTCTTGAGTCCATCTTGTATGCTAAGCTAGGCTAACCGCGTCTAACAGCTGTGCATAAACACATAGACATGAGCGTGATACCCCTCTGAACAGCTCATTGAAAGACAGATGAGCAATGTTTACAAATTTATAGCTCAAGAAGACAAAATTTAAGAATTTTGAACTCTGTGCCTTGAAAGTGTTGGACAACCCTGGGTCTAACCTCCTTTTAGTCTCTGTCTCAGGGTGATGGAGAGCTGTCTGGCTTGCCCACACCAGACTCCACCCCGGAGCTCCCCATCAAGAACATGAAGGCCCTGCGGCATCACCAGTATGAGAAGAACCAGAACTGCAACAACGCCAAGGACAATGCCAATGCCAAGCCTGGCCCCAGCTGCTCTGGGTCCAGTCTGGGCTTCATGGCAGTTGTTGGGAACTCGGTGACCCAGCAGGCCTTTCCCTTGTCTCATCACCATGGCAACAGTTTGAGCAATGGAGCGGCACACGGAGCGGGCGCTTCTTCGACTTCACTGCAGCTCCCTGAGGAGAGGGAGATCTCACATGATGAGCGTGCAGCAGCAGCAGGTGGAGGAGCTGGAGGTGGGGCAGTCCCACATCACCACCACTCCCAGCAGTCTCTCCCCCAGACGGTAGTGGACGTGTCGGCACTGGATGAGCTGCTGAAACACATCCATGAGGTCAGCGCGTCGGGCACCGGAGGCATCAAGGTCCTCACCTCCACCTCCTCGTCCTCCCTGTTCTCTAGGCCATCCACTTCTGGAGGCCATCATCACCACCACCATCACAGTCACCATAGCCAGACGCGCACCCATCACTACAACCACAGTGATCACCATAGAGACCACAGCAGCGGCAGCGGTCACCATCTCCAGATCCCCGAAACAGAATCGGCTCCGTACTACAGCACCTCAACACTGCCCAGGGATGGGCTCCCCAAACGCCTGGACGCACCTCCTCCACACTCCTCCTCATCCTCCTCTTCTTCATCTTCATCCTCCAACAACCCCACCTCCTCCACCTCTGTCCCTTCCTCCTCCTCTTCCTCATCCTCCACTCCACTCCAGCAGCAGGTGATTCCAGAGAGACCTGGAGTAAGCGGCATCCCGGTGACACGCCACCACTCCCAGCGCCACTCTCTCATCAAGATGGGCAGTGGGGGCGGCGCTGTGCCGCGCCACCACAGCTTCAATCAACGGGGAGCACAGCACTCGCACTTTCTGGCCAGGATGAACACCAACAGCAGCAGCAATGGGCCCCCAAGCATGAACGTGAACCCCAGCGCCAGTGGAGAGAGCCAGCAGCTGTCGATCGCCAGCGCTTGCCTGACGCGGCAGCACAGTTACAGTGAAGGGCCAAACGTGCAGCAAACAGTAAATGTCCGGAGAACGGCGTCACTCAAACCCCAGGTCCCACCAAAACCGCTGTTCCTGCCTAATACAGCAACATCATCAGTAGCAGAGGCAGGAAAATACAACTAGAGAAACGGGAGGGGGAGGAGGCGCCACCCCAACGTGACTGCTACAGCCCTGCCTGAGGGAAGCACTCCGAACTGCCTGCAGGGCTTGTGAGAAATGCCAAAATGAGAGCAGTGACAGGACTGAAAGACACAAAAGAGACTGGAGAGCTTTCTGTCCCCATCTCTCGTCATTACAACCCTTCAGTTGTGGTTCTTTTCCTGCTGCTGAGTCACAGTCGCTCACTGTAGCTGCTTCGCTCACAGCACTGCCCTGAACAGACACACTGAGGATCGACCGATTTTTCTTTTCACGGTCGGTGCTGCTTGTGGCGACTATCCCCTCACGAGTCTGACAAACATTCCATAAGGCGAGGGATGCTAACCAACCCAAAGGGGTCCCCACGGCTTGAGGTGGCCTGAAAAAGTCTCTGTGAATGCAGATTTCTTATGAGCACTTTCATCTAATGTCCTTGTTGTTGCAGCCTGGCACAGGGCCTGGATTTCATTTTCAAAACTTCACAAAAGCAGGGATTGGGCTGCTGCAGAGCTGATGGGAGCTGAAACTGGGACTGTTGGGCAATCAACCAATGGAATTTCCCTCCACAGGGGAAATCAAACAAAAATCACATTAGGTCAAAAATGCCCAGATGGTAATTCCTCCCTCTGCTTTGGAGAAAACTGGAGGGAGGGTTCACTCTCCTTTTCCATGAAAAAAATGAGCCCTGAGGAGGAGACCAAACTGCAGTGAGACGGGATGTTTTTACACAACACGTTGTGCTTCATGAGCTGTGGGATCAGATCTAAACAGTGAAACCCAGCAGCCACAGAGCTTTCTCTCTCTGGGCCCTGACAGTGCACACAAACCAGATAAATGTTCTTTTTGGTACCACGCTGGTATCTGGAAAACAAGCTAAGCGTTAATGGAGCGCAGCAGGTGATCAGGGGAAGCATTCTGATAAATTATTCCCCCAAATTACCAATTCATGCTCTCAATACACTTAATACTCATTCAATCTAGTAATTTGTGTTAAAATGACTTAATTGATTCTCTTGAATTAATAATTGCCCTCAAATGACTTAATTTGCCCCCTGCTTTCTGTCGTTATCTGTGAAACACTCAGAAATCCAGGAGCTGAATTCTGATGAACTGGGTGACATCTGCAGGAGCTAGAAAGATGATTTATCAGAACCATTTCCCCATCACTTGCTGAGAGGCTGTAGCAGTACGACAGGTGACCCTGTCAAAACAGAGGAGGCAGTGGATGCAGTGAAAACACGTTGGTTCACTTAACTTAAAGGAAGGCACCTGGCATCAGTGCAGTGGTCCCCCCCCATTCATTTCCACTGTTTTTACTGGACTCTTTACCTAGGGAAACAGTTTCATTAACTGTAACTTTACACTGCTTTTTCAAATGCATCAAAAGGATTGTTGTAGTTTGGCTTTACAGCACCAGTGTGTTAGCATGCTAGCACTTGCTAACTGGCACTAAACTACAACTGTGAATGATGGGAATGTTTTTAATTTCACAAGTATTCAGTAAACCAGATGCCCATAAAGTGAATTATTGTACCGACTGTCACGGCAACTCAGGGGCTGAGTTAATGCTGTAACAATTAGCCGATTAAATGATGGGCTTTTTTGCAGCTACTTTGGTAATCGATTATTAAATGGAGTCATTTATAAAGCTAAACACTACGCATTTGTTTCCATTCAGTCAATTTAATGGTTTTCTGTGTTGTATTTTGTTTGACCAGTATGACCAGTTACAAAGGCAGGTTATTCTGGACTGTATATTTACCATTAAACTGATTGTTTACACCTGCTACTCCAGTGTTAGTAATTTGGTAAAGTCTAGTAACAGACACTGGTGGGCAGGCGAAACAAGTCCCTGTGACGGGACATTGTGGTTTAAAACCGCTGGGGAACCACTGCTCCTGTCTAGCCGTGCAGAGATCTCTGGTTTTATCTGCCCTGGGTTTGATGTGAACACACGTTAGTTTGACTGGCTACAAACACCACATTTCCAAAGATCTACAGCAGTTGTAGCTCCCCAGCACACAGTCCCAGCTGCTCAGATAGTAATAAAAACTGCTGACATGATGATTATTGTGTACAAATAAAGCCAGAGTTATCTGCACAGACAGATTCCACTAGGGAAGAGTAACAGTAGCTCCTGTTTATTTCTGAGGTAACTTGGGTGAGCGTTTGGCTTTCGAGCCACTTTGCTGACCACAGTGTGTGGGAAAGGTCTAATGGTCTCCAACTGTGAAGGGAACATGCTGCTTCCTGTTTTACTTTTACCTCCCAGTGTTTGTCAGTGGTCAAGATCACTTTTATTCTGTGGCTGTTTCTTCTGTTTGGACAGGCGAACCAAACTAACAGGCAACATTTTGAGGCAAGGGAGATGAGCAATACTGCCAGCAACAGCAATAAAAGTTGGAGACTTTTTGGGAAGTAATCCATGTAAATAATATAAGCTGCTTGGAAGCATAGAAACAGCTGAGAAGCGTTGACTGTCCATGTTGCCTCAACATGTGCCAGTTTGGTGAAGTCTGAAACTGCCTGGATAATGAATGTGATCATTTGAGATTTGCAAAAGTTTTGATTGCCAAAATTTAAAAAACTGTAGTGAAGCTTGAGCCTGAAGATGTTATGTACACACACTGTCACGTCTCTCCTGCTGCCAGGGCTTATCAATAAAGAATCATAATGGTAGTTCTGCATGTTTTAGCCGTTACCTGCTAAGTGGCACCGTGTTAAGGCCAATCGTGTTCCACATCACAGTCTGGGTTTGACTAAGGTTTGTAACCTTAGCAAAAAGCCAACAGTAACTAAACCACATGTTAATACAGACTTACTAAAGCAGCAGACGTCCTGTTGTTAAAGTCTGCACATGCACTACAGTGTTTCCCCTGCCACTCCCTCTAAACAGCTTGAAAGGCAAGTTAATTTTATTTTCTATATAGCGCCAGATCACAACAGAAGTCATGTAAGGTTACCTTTCTTATAGAACTGGTCTATACCTTGTTCTTTTATTAAATTAAATAGCCCTATGTTATTTATCTTATTTACACAAGGGCATGTCATTTCTGTCTCTGCATGGTCAAACTGTGTGGCCCCTGGTAACACTGTAAGCCTACTTTGACTTTTTTCAGTACAAATGCTGGTTTCACAGTAGGCCTCTTTTAATAACTGGCAGGCAAAGTGCTGGAACCAAGTTCCCAATTATTTATATATGGTTTAATTCGCCATAATAATGTTAATTGCACTCTTTTCCTGTATCACAACATAATCAAACTGAAGTCCAAATTAAAGAACCATGTCCTACAAGAAATACAGTGCCTTGCGAAAGTATTCGGCCCCCTTGAACTTTGCGACCTTTTGCCACATTTCAGGCTTCAAACATAAAGATATAAAACTGTAATTTTTTGTGAAGAATCAACAACAAGTGGGACACAATCATGAAGTGGAACGAAATTTATTGGATATGTCAAACTTTTTTAACAAATAAAAAAACTGAAAAATTGGGCGTGCAAAATTATTCAGCCCCCTTAAGTTAATACTTTGTAGCGCCACCTTTTGCTGCGATTACAGCTGTAAGTCACTTGGGGTATGTCTCTATCAGTTTTGCACATCGAGAGACGGAAATTTTTGCCCATTCCTCCTTGCAAAACAGCTCGAGCTCAGTGAGGTTGGATAGAGAGCGTTTGTGAACAGCAGTTTTCAGTTCTTTCCACAGATTCTCGATTGGATTCAGGTCTGGACTTTGACTTGGCCATTCTAACACCTGGATATGTTTATTTGTGAACCATTCCATTGTAGATTTTGCTTTATGTTTTGAATCATTGTCTTGTTGGAAGACAAATCTCCGTCCCAGTCTCAGGTCTTTTGCAGACTCCATCAGGTTTCCTTCCAGAATAGTCCTGTATTTGGCTCCATCCATCTTCCCATCAATTTTAACCACCTTCCCTGTCCCTGCTGAAGAAAAGCAGGCCCAAACCATGATGCTGCCACCAACATGTTTGACAGTGGGGATGGTGTGTTCAGGGTGATGAGCTGTGTTGCTTTTACGCCAAACATAACGTTTTGCATTGTTGCCAAAAAGTTCGATTTTGGTTTCATCTGACCAGAGCACCTTCTTCCACATGTGTGGTGTGTCTCCCAGGTGGCTTGTGGCAAACTTTAAACGACACCTTTTATGGATATCTTTAAGAAATGGCTTTCTTCTTGCCACTCTTCCATAAAGGCCAGATTTGTGCAGTATACGACTGATTGTTGTCCTATGGACAGAGTCTCCCACCTCAGCTGTAGATCGCTGCAGTTCATCCAGAGTGATCATGGGCCTCTTGGCTGCATCTCTGATCAGTCTTCTCCTTGTATGAGCTGAAAGTTTAGAGGGACGGCCAGGTCTTGGTAGATTTGCAGTGGTCTGATACTCCTTCCATTTCAATATTATCGCTTGCACAGTGCTCCTTGGGATGTTTAAAGCTTGGGAAATCTTTTTGTAATTTCAGTCTCTCGATGTGCAAAACTGATAGAGACATACCCCAAGCGACTTACAGCTGTAATCGCAGCAAAAGGTGGCGCTACAAAGTATTAACTTAAGGGGGCTGAATAATTTTGCACGCCCAATTTTTCAGTTTTTTTATTTGTTAAAAACGTTTGAAATATCCAATAAATTTCGTTCCACTTCATGATTGTGTCCCACTTGTTGTTGATTCTTCACAAAAAATTACAGTTTTATATCTTTATGTTTGAAGCCTGAAATGTGGCACAAGGTCGCAAAGTTCAAGGGGGCCGAAGACTTTCGCAAGGCACTGTAACTCATGTGAACAGATCAAACAAGAAGCAACAAGTATAATGTTATGTGGGCTGCAGCTTGGGCTCTGTTTTTAGCCTGCTGTATATTTCTTTACATTTTGGAACACTAGGTATGCAGAATTAATTTATCTGTTCATTTTTGCGTGTACTGACAGAATTACATAAATACTGAAGAAATCTTAAAGATTTGTTTCTCAAGCAGTTTCTGAATCTTTACAATTCATTTATATAGAGATTTACACTGTAGGCAGCAAATTTGTTTATTCCAAATTAGGCACCGTAATTCAACCCACCAACCTCCCGGTTGGGAGATGACCACTCTACCCACTGAACCGGTCACCCCGCTATATATACACTGTATATTTATAAGGGCCCACACTGGAGATTAACCAGCGCCCTGATGGGGGGAACCAACCCCTGACCTGACATACCAAAGTCAGTGGTGTGTGTGCGTGTGTGTGTGTGTGTGAGCGAGCAGTCCTTACGGTGTAGGAAAAACAAGTGGGGGTGTGTGGCCTTGTTTCTGTATACTGGTGCGGTCCAAAATCCATGAGTTACTATCCTCATGGGGACCAGAAGTCACTTGTGGGGACCGGAGGCTGGTCCCCACAATGTAGTTTGCCACATTTAGTGAAAACGATGGGGTGTAAGGTTAGAGCAAGTGTAGGCTTTGGTTAAGGTTAGGTTAAGTGTCCTGCAAATAAATGTAAGCCTATGTAGGGACCTGGTAAGTGACAAAAATAAGGGTGTGTGTGCATGCTGTGGACTGATTGACGTTGTAAAACAGTAGGACACGCCATATTCAGCAGGTCGCTCTGCTGATGTGTCCTCTAGCTACTGGAACTAAGAGGAAGCACAGTTTGCATCTGTGTTGTCAGCTGGAAAAGGTTTTTTAATGCATATGATGGAAATGCTGTGCATTCATGTTGAAAGCTGATTTCACACATATGCCAGCAGCATCATGACTCTGTGCCAGACCACCTTTCTGGTTCACTCTGAAATACCTCACGACAGACGGACTGCAATGAAACGTTGGGCAGATCTTCATAGTATGTTTTTAATCTAATCTGTGGTCTCGTGGTGCTCTGGCTCCACCGTGAGGTCCACATTGGTACATGCCTTTATTGTGATTGAATATGGTTCACAGGCTCCTGTTGTCTGTGCGTTTACTGCTATTTAACAAATGTTAGCATGATAATAAACTTAACCTGTGATTTTAACTATGGGGAAGAGTACTAAAGTAAGTTACCATGAAATAAAATCATGCTGCAAACTAATACCGGCAGGTAAAGCTTGTCCTGAGTGGCTCCTGCCTTTGTGTCTCTCTCACCAACAGAGGACAGACTCCAGTCATCATCTTCTCTGTGAGAACATACCACTAAACTGGTATGTTTTTCAAACCCATACATGCTTGTTGACAAGACGCCCTAAACAGTCACTGTCCATGACCTGCTCAGCAGCAGACAGACACAGTCAGAGACCAGCTGGGGGCCACAATGGAGATTTACTGTGGCTATGAGCATCCACCTGGAAGAACTAACTGAGACTTCTCACACTGAACACGTCTGACCTCCTCTCAAAGATCAAAGTTTTTTTTTTTTGTCAATTCACTATGTGCAGGACATACAGAAAAATCAAAGTACTGGTTAACACCTAGGTATAGAGCATTGCAATAATCAAGTCTAGAAGTGATAAAAGCATGGATTGCAATCTCAAAATCATTAAAAGAAAGGTGAAGGAACTAGATTTCACAACTGAGTTGATTTGCTTGTCAAACCTCAAGTCACCATCAACCATCACCCCTAGATTTTTTTACAGTCGACCTCAGGTGTCGAGCTAGGGGGCCCAGGCCCTGGTTAGAAGCAATAGCATTCGCCAGGTCACCAAATAGCACACACTCAGTCTTATTTTCAAAAAGTTGTGCCATCCATGATTTCAAGTCTGTCAAACATTGGCTGTAATGACACCCCTCTTTTTGCCTTTAATGGTAAGTAAATCTGAATGTTATCAGCATAACAATGAGAAGAATGGCCCTAATCCCTTAAGACAGATCCCAGTGGGAACATGTACAAAGAGAACAAAATGGGACCAAGCACAGATCCTTGGGGGACACCACAGGAAAGGATAGTTGAAGAGGATGAACGGGTACCAATATTATCAGTGGGTGATGCTTCAGAGGTTTCCTCCTCCTAGTCCACAGCGATCACTTTAGTCTTCCCCACACTGTGAGGTTATTCTTACACCACTGGACCAGTTGGCACACCTCACTCCTGTAGTTGGCCTCATCATTGTTAGTAATGAGGCCAACCGCAGTTGTTGTCCACAAACTTGATAATGTGGTTGGTGCTGTAGGTTGGCACACAGTTGTGGGTCAGCAGTGCTGTGCACAGCGTGATGGTCTTGGAGATGTTGCTGCCGACCCACACATTTTGTGGCCTCCCTGTTAGGAAGTCCAGCACCCAGTTGCAGAGAGAGGTTTTGAGTCCCAAGTTTTTGTGTAAGCTGCTGTGGAATTTTTGTGTTGAATGCTGAACTGAAGTCTAGGAACAGCATTCGCACATAAGAGTTCTTTGAATCTAGGTGGGTGAGGCTGGATGGAGAACAGCAGTAATGGCATCCTCTGTGGACCTGTATGCAAACTGAAATGGGTCATGAGAGGGAAGAAGGATGGACTTGACGTTCTGCATGACCAGCTGCTCGAAGCACTTCATAATAATTGAAGTCAGTGCTACAGGCCGATAGTCATTGTAAATGGTTGGGTGGGGCTTCTTTGGAAGTGGAATTATTGTGGTGGCCTTGAAACACGTGGGAACAACTGCTTGGCTCAGGGAGATGTTAAAGATGTTGGTGAGGACATTCTTGAGCTCCTCAGCATCGTCCTTTTAAACACGACCAGGTATGTTATCCGTTCCAGCTGCCTTGTGTAAGTTGATCCCGGAGAGGGTCTTCTTCACACTGGCTGCGGGGACACACACAGCCTGCTCGCCTTGGGGGAGGGGTGGTCTTCTGTGCCGGTGTGGTGGTCTGTGTTTCAAAGTGGCCAAAGAAGTCATTGAGGCTGTTCAGCGGAGAGATGGGGATTTATAGCCTGTGAGGGTTTGGATGCCTCGCCAGAGACTCTATGCATCTCTAGTGTCACTGAAGTGTCCAGATATTTTCTTGCTGTATTGGTGTTTTGCCTCCCTGATTCCATGGGACAGGTTGGCTCCTGCTGTTGCTAGGTCTGCAGTGTTGCCAGCCCTATATGCTGCATCCCAAGCCCTCAAGAGTCTGTGAACCTCACCTGTCATCCATGGCTTCTGGCTGGCATGAACAGTGATATTTGGCTGTATGTAATATCATCAATGCACTTTGTGATATATGCTGCGACAGCCTCTGCAGTAGTTGTTCTTCTCTGGCTGTCTCTGCTCTTTCAATTTCCCTCCCAGTTTGTACCATTTGACTTTTCCTTGTCCCGTCTCTCCCCTGTTCATTACAAACAGTCACCTTCACATCTACATGCTGCTCATACATGTTAAACCTCAGAGGAGTCACACCTGAGATTAAAGCCACTCTCAGGTTCAGAAACCTCACAGTAATTTAAGGGTGAATTCACTGACACTGCAGGGTTAGTGGTTTAATCCCACTAGGAGCACTGGTGCTGAACATCCACACAGTTTTTTTCCACGTGGTTACATTATGTAAGTCGTCCTAAAAATCACAGATGAGCCATTTGTTTCATATGACTGTGCCTCATTTGAACCCAGCACTCCACATTGGCATTAACTCTTCATCCTCTGACTTTGTGTTAAGCAGACCATTACTTTTTGTACCTCTGAACTTTCAGGGTGGGAGGTTTTATGGCACTTGGTCTGATGTGACATAATCAGAATGAATGGCCTGAATTCAGGAGCATGGGACTGTCAGTCAGAGAGAGAGAGAGAGATATTATTTGGAAAATGTGGTGTTAATGAATGAAGCAGAGGCACCGTGACTTTCAATAGCAGGCTTCTCATCATAAACAGACGTCAGAGCTGAGTTCAAGGAGGCAGAGACATTTAATATCTCACTAACTGTCAGAGTTGAGAAAAAGGAAAGCAATAGGAGAGGGGAGGGGATGCCGACACCACCTCCATTCCTGTTCCCAAGCGGGTCAGTGATGGTGGTGATGCGCCTTTGCTCCCCTCTCTCACCAGGTCAGTGAGGGTGCTGACGCCATTCCTGAGCCTGTTCCTGTTCTCAAGCAGGCCAGTTGGAATGCTGACACTGCATCCTGCTCGGTCCCGTGGCTGCCCGCCTGAGCAACCTCTCTGCTCTTCTGCCTGGTTATGTGGTCTCTGATCTGCTGTCTGGTCTCCTGGTCGTCCAACTAAAAGGCCTACCTGGTTCCCTGCCCAGCCCCGAGGATGTCCGCCTGCCTGGTTCTGTGGATGTCTACCTGAATGGCTTCACCAGTCTCCTGCCCGGACGTCATTTGTGTTTATGAAGCTTAAAATGTTTGATTTTGGTGAGATTGTCATAAATGTATAAATTCAATTATATATTCATTATTGAGGTCAGTGGTGTACTGGACTACATTATATTTAGAGGCGTCTGTATATTTTTGTCCTGCCCACTGACATACATGAGTGTCAGAATATTAAGAACACCTCTAAATATAATGTAGTCTAGTAAAAACACCACCTTTAACTATGACCTCAATAATGAACATATAATTGAATTTATACTTTCATAACAATTTCAGGTGTAAATATTGTAGTTTTTCCTGCACTACACATCTGACAGCAGAAGATAACATGCAGATTCAGATTCACAAAACATATAACCAACAAATAAATGATCACATGTTATCACAGGTTGTGATCACACTTTATTGATCCACGGTGGGAAATTCACCAGCTACCCAGGAATATAAAAGGTAGTTAACATGAGCACCCCCTTTACCAGCTGCACAATATGAACACAATAATGCATCAATCATGATAATCCAATATCAGACGACGTTGGATTTGACTTGACCTGACTGGGCTTCCACAGCTGGACAGATGTTGAACAGAGACACTGTTAATCCCTGAGCAGAGCTGGATGCTGCTCTATGGATCCTGGCAGCAACAACAGCAGAGTGAATGGAGACAATAATCATCACACAATCAAACCCACTTTACTGAACTGGCCAAATGTTGATGGCCAAAGTGATGAAATCAGATAAATAAAATGTTTGGTGTTTGAGTCGGACACAGATCTGCTTCACAGTGCAGAAAGGGGGATGGTGAACTTAGTGACCTTTGACCTCAGCAGCTGATCTTCAGCTAGAGTTTGTGTCCACAGGAGACTCACACCTACATACCACACAGAGACACTGAGGAACCAGGAGAGCAGATCCTGAACCCAGGATAAAGAGGTTCAGTGAATGTGGTGTTGAAGGTGTGGATGTGGATCAGTGTGTCAGAGGAGACTGTGTAGAAGGACAGAGTGCCAGCAGGACAGTCCACATACACTGCTGCTCTGTGAGATACCGGGGAGCAGGAGGAGATGGTTGTTTCTCTGTTATTGTACCAGACATAGTAACCACGATCAGAGCAGGTCAGACTCCAGGAATGATCGTTCGCTCCAAGCAAACAGTAAGCACTACCGCCTTTCCTCCTGATTCCTCTGTAGCTCACTGATATATAAACCCATCCACTCCACTCGACCTCCCAGTAGCAGCGACCGCTCAGACCAGTTCTACACAGCAGCTGAGGCCAGTTGTCAAATCTGTCTGGATGATCAGGATATGACTGATCCTCCTCCACCCGTGTCACCTTCCTGTTGTTGTCAGACAGTTGTAGTTGTCTGTGCACTGTGTTTGTGTCCAGTTCCAGTTCACAGAAATCTGATGGAGAGAAAAGACACAGCTGCAGTTTATCATCTGTTGGTGTATGAACAACTTTACTGACAATTACTGAGAGGAAATCATTCACACTGACATTTCAGATTCACTGTGACTCATGTTTGGCTCCATTCAAACTGAAATGCAACAATCCAGTTACACCAACATGAGCAGTGACTTAACATGAGAGTCCAGATGTTTCCTGCTGTGGCCCAAGGACAGCAGCTAACGGAGATCAATAAACACCTGGACTGGATCAGGTCTCACTCATCAACCTGGCTCATCATCTTCCATTGCAGCACAGAGCAGCTCTGAACCAGCTGCTTCCTACAACTCTGATTAGCTCCACCAACAAACTGCTTAAGTATGAGTTTACAAGCAGCACCTGAAGGCAGCACAGCTCTTTATAATATCAGTGACAGAAGGAACAGTCGGCTTCTGCTGGCTCCACTGTTAATGACATGTAGTGATTAGTGTTGTTGGGTCACTGTGTTCACTTTGTTGTGTCTGTGGATTTTAAACCGACAGTGAATTCTAACAGGTTTCCAGCCACACGGACAAAAACCAGAAGCTAAATCCTGAATGAAACTCTGCAGAAACTCATCTTTGTCCTTCAGTCAAGGAAATGTCCACATCTAGTGGAACATGTGCAGCTGGGTTCTCAGGAATCAAACTTAAACACACTCACACTTCCTCAGACCAGGTCTCATCCACTGTGGTCCACCATGGTCCAACCTGGAGGAAGAGACAGAGTCAGCGTCAGACACCTTCACTCACATCCACCATTAAAGACCAGAGTTCCTCAGTCACAGAGACAGAGACACAATGCGAGAGCTGCTGCTATCTGTGGTCCGTCTGGACCCGAGAGAGTCCAGTCTGCGGTCCGTCTGTACCTGAGATGGTCCAGTCTCCAGTGTGGATCCTCCTCTTGAGCCAACAGCAGCTTCTTTCCTGAGTTTCCTGGATGGTTGTAGCTTAGGTCCAGCTTTCTAAGGTGGGAGGGGTTGGAGCTCAGAGCTGAGGCCAGAGAAGCACAGCCTGCCTTTGTGATGCAACAGCCTGACAGCCTGAACACACAGTCATGTTTCCATTACTTCACAGGACAATACACTGACTTACAGTCATTTCCTGGAGATGTGTCATCACCTGAAACCAGATCTAGACCCTGAAATGTACTGATGACTGTTCTGGGGATTCATGTACACACATACAGGTTCTGGCTTTCAGTCTAAACTATACATCAGCCGCCTTCTGAGGACCAAAACATTGTGACGTCCCCACTTGTAAAGACACAGTTTAGAATAAGGATAATCACCTTATTATTATTGGCCAAGTAGGTTACACACAAGGAGTTTGTTTCCGGTACAGAACCATGACAGCCATCTGTGGCGCCAACTCAATCGATGGCTCTAACCATCGGGGGCAATGGGGGGGATTCAGTTTCTTGCCCAGGGACACTTCGACATGTGGACTGCAGGCACCAAGATTCAAACCTTCAACCTTCTGGTTGGGAGACAATTGCTCTACCCACTGAACCACAGTCGCCTCCAAAAAATGTTTGGAGCCGAGGGCCCCGGGCATCGCATACGCACCGCCATCATGGGCAGTTCTTCACTGGATTTTAGACAGAAATGCCTGGATGTCACTGAGCTGGTTGCAGGTCGACCAGGACCAAACAGAGGAACTGATCACTGGTTCAAAGCTCAGAGAGAAACTGGCCTCCAGACTCACCACACTGGAACTCATCCCAATGCATGAACAAGAAACCTTGGCACTGAGGTTTGACTCTGACTGGAACTTCCCATCTCATGTGCAGGCTATCACAGAAACAGCATCTGATCATTGGAAGAACATTGTGACAGTGAGGCCATGTTTGTGTCTGAGTAGCACAGAGACTAATGCAGACTTTTAGAACCAGCAGGCCAGACTACTGGAAACCATCTGCTCTCTGATCCACCAAAGCTCCAGTTCATCCAGAATCCAGAGTCCTGCTGCATGAGTGCTGCCACAGACCAGACAAAGACACACAGGATGCTCATCTTAAAGTCTGACACTGTTGGCCTGGTAGCTTCCACAAACTGGACTGGAAGGTTTTCTGTTAGTCTGTGAGCCACTACAAGGTCTTTGACCAGACTGTCAGAAATGCTGTGAAATGATGAATTGAGAAGGCCCCTGAAATCCTCTGCTTCTTCTCTTTTAGCTGCCAACATCTGTTTCAGTCGACATATTTCCAGTGCAGCTGCTCACATGAACTTAAGACCAGACACTGGAATTAACTCAATGAGGCAAGAGAGCGAAAGAAACCACAACTTTCTGATCAATAAAAAAGTTAAACTGGAACGACACAGTAAAAAGGACTGAACACCCTGTAAGACAACACAGAGAAAAAGCTGAGTCCTGACCTGAGACTTTCCAGTTTACAATGTGGACTCCCCAGTCCAACAGACAACAGCTTCACTCCTGAGTCCTGCAGCTCATTGTCACTCAGGTCCAGGTGTCTCAGACAAGAGGACTCGGAGCTGAGAACTGAAGACAGAGCTTCACAGCTTCTCTCTCACAGGTTACAGCTGCTCAGCCTGGAGTGAAACCAGCAAAAACACAGACATCAGTTACAAACAGCAGCTTTTTGTCTTGACTAAAGACAAAGATCAGCTTAACCTGGACTGGTCTATGTGCACATACAGAGCTTTGTTGGAGGTTCTGACCACAGGCAGCAGCCTCAGAAGAGCCTCCTCTGAAGCAGAGTATTTCTTCAAGTCAAACATGTCTAGGTCTTTGTCTGATGACAATAAGATGAAGACCAGAGCCAACCACTGAGCATGAGACAGTTCATCTGTGGAGAGACGTCCTGATCTCAGGGCCTGTTGGACCTGCTCCACCATTGACCGATCATTCAGTTCATTCAGACAGTGAAACAGGTTGATGCTTCTCTCTGGAGACAGATTCTCACTCATTTTCTTCTTGATGTACTTGACTGTTTCCTGATTGGTCTGTGAACCACTTCCTGTCTGTGTCAGCAGGCCTCGTAGGAGAGTCTGTATGGTCTGCAGTGAAAGGCCCAGGAGGAACCGGAGGAACAAGTCCAGATGTCCATTTGGACTCTGTAAGGCCATGTCCACAGCTCTCTGGTGGAGATGTTTTAGTTCAGGTTTGTCTCTAAACAGTTTAAACCCCCACCAGGATGTTGCTTGTTCTTCTGCCAGCAGACTGACTCCAGAGGTGATGAAGGTCTGATGGACATGAAGAGCAGCCAGAAACTCCTGAACACTCAGATGGACGAAGCAGAACACTCGGTCCTGGTACAGTCCTCTCTCCTCTTTAAAGATCTGTGTGAACACTCCTGAGTACACGGAGGCTGCTCTGATGTCGATGCCACACTCTGTCAGGTCTGACTCGTAAAAGATCAGGTTGCCTTTCTGCAGTTGCTCAAAAGCCAGTTTTCCCAGAGACTCAATCATCTCCCTGTTCTCTGGACTCCAGTGTGGATCTGTCCCAGCTCCTCCATCATACTTGACCTTCTTCAGTTTGGTCTGAACCACCAGGAAGTGGATGTACATCTCAGTCAGGGTCTTTGGCAGTTCTCCTACCCCTCTGGTTTCCAACACATCCTCCAGAACTGTAGCAGTGATCCAGCAGAAGACTGGGATGTGGCACATGATGTGGAGGCTTCGGGAGCTCTTGATGTGAGAGATGATCCTGTTGGCCTGCTCCTCATCTCTGAACCTCTTCCTGAAGTACTGGTCCTTCTGAGGGTCAGTGAACCCTCTGACCTCTGTCACCATGTCCACACACTCAGGAGGGATCTGATTAGCTGCTGCAGGTCGCGTGGTTATCCAGAGGCGAGAAGAGGGAAGCAGGTTCCCCCTGATGAGGTTTGTCAGCAGCACATCCACTGAGGTGGACTCTGTGACATCAGTCAGGACCTCAGTGCCGTGGAAGTCCAGAGGAAGCCGACACTCGTCCAGACCATCAAAGATGAAGACAACATGGAACTCTTCAAAGCTGCAGATTCCTCTGGTTTCAGTGAAGAAGTGATGAACCAGGTCCACCAGACTGAACTTTTTCTCTCTCAGTACATTCAGCTCTCTGAAAGTGAATGGAAATGTGAAGTCAATGTCCTGGTTGGTTTTGCCTTCAGCCCAGTCCAGGGTGAACTTTTGTGTTAAGACTGTTTTCCCAATGCCAGCCACTCCCTTTGTCATCACTCTTATGATTGGTCCAGCTCTTCTAGGTGGAGGTCTAAAGATGTCTTCATGCCTGATGGTTGTTTCTGGTCTGACTGGTTTCCTGGATGCTGTTTCCATCTGTCTGACCTCATGTTCATCACTAACCTCTCCAGTCCCTCCCTCTGTGATGTAGAGGTCTGTGTAGATCTGATTCAGAAGGGCTTGGCTTCCTGCTTTAGCAATCCCCTCAAACACATGCTGGAACTTCTGCTGCAGCTTAGACTTCAGTTTACGTTGACAGACTCCAGGATCAAGTCCTGTGTGAACAAATAAGAAGTTAAATTAATGAGTGGATCCTTCAGAAAGTCACAGACTCTAAACATGTCAGTGTGTGTAGAGTTTGTATCATCAGTGGAGATAAACACCCTGCGGTCTGAGGTAGATGTGTGCAGCATATCAACAGCAGAGTGTGTTAGTGGAAACCTCTCCCATGTCACCTCCACTTCCTCTTTCCACCATGTTAAAACTGTTCAAACCCTCTTACTGCCCTGCAGACGCTCAGCCAGCTCTTCCTGCTTCATCCTCTTCAGGAAGTTAATTGTGATCTGCAGAAATGACTCTCTGCTGCTCCTCCTCTGCTCTTCATCCTCACCGTCCAACTCCTCCTCATCCTCCCTCTGACTCTCTAAGCATTCTGGGTAATCTGGTCTCAGGACCCTCTGGATCTTCTTCAGCTCGTTCTTCACAAAAGTGACCATGTTCTCCTCCAGCAGCTGGAACAGAATAAGAAAATGAACAGTGAAGTCGATCCCAACATGTGATTCCTGTGGCGGTCTGAAGGCCTGCTGGTCTGAACACAGCAGCATGGAGTCTGTCAGGACCTGAGTGGGTGTTTAGTGTTCACTCTGTGTGCTGTGTGGTTCCTAGGACAAAGTATGAGTGCACATGTACACACCATAAATATGGAGTCCAGATGTGGCTGATGCTGCTGTGCAGACTGATCACTGTGAACCTCTGAGCTCTGCTGCTGAACTCTGTGGAGGAAACAAAGACTTGAAGGAAAAGCCAGGACTCACATCTGACACAGCTTATTAAAGGTGACTGATGAGGTCAGACTCCTGCAGTGATGACATGAGGACAGCAGACGACTGGCAGACAACTCGGTCAGGAGTCACGAGGGAGGAAGAAACTAGGGTGTTTTCCAGGAACTGTATGGCTCAGTAACAATCTGTTCTCCCTTCAGGAACTACATACAAGTCTACACACAGCCCTGCTGGCCACAGCAGCTGCCGTCCTGATCAGCCCTCAGAGGGAAAAACACAACGTCACATGGCTTTGACTCTGGACACAGGACAAATATCAGGTCTTCGTTTGACATGAAGAACTTACAGCTGCAGCTGCTGAAGCCAGTTTGTACCAAAGCTGGTTTACGACAACATGCAAGGCTGCTCCCACTGACTTTGCCTTAGTGTACGGGGGCAGGGCCTGAACTCAACACTGACCTTCATCACGGTTTATATTTTTATGGAAAGAAACAACCGTGACTACATTTAGCTGTTGATGCTAGAGATCCTGGTGTCCTAGTGCTTTTAGACCTTACTTCTGATCCAGTGGCTCATAGAATCCTTATATCTTGCCTGGCCCAGTGTGTCAGCATTCAGGGGGCTGCTTCTAAATGACCTGAGTCGTATCTGACCAGTAGGATTTCTTATATGAGTACTGGTGAGTTCTTATCCTCCACTGCTCCTCTCACTTGTGGGGTCCCCCAAGGCTCCATTCTTGGTCCTGTCCTTTTTCTTTACAGAGGGGTCACTGGGGTTGATCGTGAAGAAATATGAGCTAACTTTCCATTGCTGGACCAATGATATTCAAATTTATCTGCCTTTGAAAGCAACAAGGAAAAACTCACAACACACTCTGGTTGACTGTGTGAGAGACATTACACCATGGCTGATAGACTGTGTGATGTTTGGGGGCCCAGACTCAGCAGAGGCCCCTAATAACAACCTGGGCCCTGTGGCCCCACATTAAACCCCATTTGAAGAGTCCTGGGGTGATACTTGACAGTGCACTCACATTAGATCAACAGATTAGCTCCGTCGGTAGATCTAGTTTCCTCCATCTGAGACTTTAATCCAAGCTGAAGCCTTTTCTGTCTTTTAATGGTTTGAAAAAGCAAGTTAAGCTTTGATCAATTCTAGGTTAGATCACTGTAACATGCCATGTGCTAGAGTTTCCACCATGAACAGGTTCTTCAAACTACAAAACTCTGATACAATGCATGCTGGGAAGTCTGCTGGTTTTGTTTCTCTTAAAAGTTCATGTGATGAGGTGAGTGAACTCTCAGCAGTTCACACTGAAACAACTCAGGTTTATAAGCTCAACAGTGGCCTGATATTAACTAGATATTCTAAGTTAAATTGATATGACATTAAATCTACACATTTACATTAACAAGAAAACCTTAGCTGATTCTACTAATATCTTGTCTGGTGTTTTGCAGTGTACTTGTACATTTGCAGTACCTTTGTGTGAGGACCCCAGGTTTTCCGTGTGGAAACCCACTAAAGAGTTTCTACTGAAATATTATAAATGTGACAATAAGTCTGTTGCATAACAGTGGCTGCTGTTTAAGGCCGACTTAGCTCCACCTCCCAGGACCCTCCTGGAAAAGAAAGGACAGCAATGGCTGGAGAGAGCCACTGTCTCATTTGGTAGATGGAGCTGAGAGACACCGACCAGGAGCTGTGGCAACATGTCTGACAGCAGTGTGGGAGATCCAGCTGCTGTCTGGTTGACCAATGAGAGAGGCAGATAATAAGGTTAAAATAATTATTACCTCATATCAGCATGTTGTTCAGATGTAACTTCAATAGGCTCTTCCTTAGACCGGTCACTCTTCATGACATACAGCTGGGCTCAGGACAGTCTGGTCTCTGCCTCCACCTCCTGATACAAACAAGTGACAAATGAAAAGTAGGTGGTTCCATCCTAAAACAGACTATAAAGCTCTGGACTAAGTTACGATTTATCTTCCGATGAGAGCCAAATAAAAACACATTTCAGCTTTCCTTATTACCTTTTACTAAAGTGAATAGGAAGATCTTTAGTCCAGTCACTCTTCATGGACATACAGCTGGGTTCAGGAGAGTCTGGTCTCTGCCTCCGCCTCCTGATACAAACAAGTGACAAATGAAAATCAGATTGAACCTGAAAGCAGCTGAACTGGGACCAGTTGAAATGCTGGAAGCAGACAGAAAACCAGTAAAAATTCAGCGGACAGACGCCATGTCATCTCGGTTGACCGGTCAGCTCTCTGTTCATTCAGACACTCAGTAGTTAATGAAGAGCTTTGAGCTGCTCCTGAACAGCTGAGTGTCAGATGTAACAGTGAATGTGAATCCTGATGGTGCAGTGATGTGTTGTGCTGAGCTCCGACATGGAAAAGAGTCCTGGACAGTCAGAGATCCTCATCTCACCTGGGAACTGTGCTCTGGCTCTCATGGTCCCCACACAGAGGGCTTTCAGAGGGAGGGCCTCCCTCTTCTCTGTCCTCACACAGACTCATGGCAGAGCTGCACTCTGTCAGTCCCAGAGACTGGGGAGCTTCACCTGTAGAAGAAACACAGAGAGAAGATGCTGCTGATTCTCCTCCATCAGTCCATGTGATGTCAGGCCGCCGTCACTGCCGGCAGCAGCTTAGCTTCACACACTTACAGTCACCGGACACAACGCGCTGAGTGAAGAGGCCACTTTGGGCTGTGGGACACTGGGGCA